ATTGGCTAGTGTAGCTTTGACCAGCGTTGACCGACCGACAAGCGAGAAATATCTCCCTTTCCAACCAGCCAGACGTCTATCCACTCTGTCGATGACTTGAGCCCAAAGACTCGTTTTCGGCTTTCCCAAGCCCAAAGGTATGCCCAAGTAGGTGGTGGGGAAGTTCTCTACTTTACAGTCCCAAGAAGGAATTAGGGCCCTGATCTCTTGAGTAGTCAAACCCACCTCCATCATTTTTTATTTATCCATGTTAACTTTGAAGCCAGTGGCAGTTCGAAGCATTTGAGGAAGAGCCTAAGGTTCTCGACTTCTTGTGGAGTAGCATCAAGGAAGACTAAGGTGTCATCTGCATACTGCAGGTGTGACACCGAACGACCTTGTGGGCTGCATTGGAAGGCTGAAAGAAGGCCTCCCTGGTAGAGGCGAGAGATAGACCTGCTAAAGACCTCTGCAACGATTGTGAAGAGAAAGGGGGACATAGGGTCCCCTTGGCGAAGCCCCCACGAGGAAGGGAAAAACCCTTTTGGGCTCCCGTTTATAAGTATCGAGAAATGAGTGTGGGAAATGCAGCCTTTCATCCATTTTCTCCAAAGGTTTCCAAAACCCATTCTGGCCATTGTCTCATCCAGTAAAGACCAGTCAACATGGTCATAAGATTTTTCCCAATCGATTTTGAAAATTAAGCCTGGCCTCTTGGATAAGTGCTTGGAGTGGAGGCACTCAGGTGCTAACACTGCCCCATCCAGGATCTGTCTATCTTTGATGAAGGCAGATTGGGACGGAGAGATGGTCAATGGGAGGACAAGCCTGAGTCTCGAAGCCAGAGCCTTGACCAGAATCTTGTATGAAGAGTTGAGTAGACTAATAGGATGAAAGTCCTTTAGCTCCTCCGCCCCTTCTTCTTGGGAACAAGAGCAATAAAGGTAGCGTTGATGGCTTTGTTTAAGATTCCCCTTTGGTAGAATTCTTCGAAAAAGCTCACGAGATTAGGTAGAAAGGTTCCCTTAAAGGATTTAAATGGGGCCATGGGAAAACCGTCTGGCCACGGAGCTTTATCTATGGCTAGTTGGTCGATGGCACAGAAGATTTCCTCTTCGGAGAAAGGTCGTTCCAGCCAACATGACCAATGATCAGGAAGGGTTAAGAAGTCTAGGGTGGTCATCCTAGGTTTGTGGCCCAAAGGGGCTGTGTAGAGAGACTTGAAGTAACCAAGGATGGCGGAATCGATATTATTAGGCTGGACCTAAAAGCGATTATCCACCTTGATAGTGGAAATCGAGCCTTCTTCGGCAGTTCACTTTTTGGTGAAAAAAGGCGGTGTTCTGGTCCAAAAAAGTTGGTCTTCTTTAGCAGTTCGCTTTGACTCTGGATCTCTGGTACCAAAAAATTTCTTCTTTCTTGAGGGTAGAAAGGTAGTCCAGCTTGGTTTGGGTTCTAAGATTAGCCTCTGAATCTGTAAGGGGTCCAAACTCTTCTACACCATCAAGCTCTCGGATGGATTTGAGCAAAGAGCTTTTTGTTTGAGAATAGTTTCTTGGTAGGGATTTGCTCCAAGTAATGAGAGACTTTTTGAGGAGTTGGAGTTTGGTTCGTAACTTAAAGCCAGCGCCGCTCGAGACCTGGGATGAGAAAGAAGTCCACCAATTAGGGATAAGGCCAAGGAGGGTATGCTCTTCTAACCAGGCTAGTTTGAAGCAAAAAAGTTTGGGCCCCCTTCTTACCGCCTGGGTATTAAGAAGAATAGGACAGTGATTCGAGGTGGGTTTAGGCAAAGAGGACACATGGGAACCAGGGAAGAAAGCATCCCAGTTCAAGGAGAGGAGGAAGCGATCCAGCTAAGCTAGGGAGGGTTGTACAGAGTGGCTCGACCAAGTAAAGCCATTCCCTTGGAGAGGAATGGCTAGGAGTTCTTGATGAGAAACGAAGTCAGAAAATTCCAACATGCCCTGGGAGATGTTGGGGTTTAGGTTCCTCTCATAAGACCAGCTGGTGATATTGAAATCACCACCCAAGCACCATGTAGTGTGCGGTAAAGAAGCTACAAAGTCTAATTCGGACCAGAGACGGGGACGGAGAGAAGCAGAGTTGGGCCCATAAATGGATGAGAATTTGAGAGGAAAACCATCTGAAGCCCAAGAGAGGAGGACGGTGACCGAGAAATCTCCGATGTGGGACGACTAGAGATGGAGCTCTGTTGGGTTCCAGACCACCCAAATACCGCCAAGAAGCCCCATCCGCCAGTAGGGTTGCCCATTGACATGACCTTCTACCCCACACACTACGAATAAGCGGGAGGCTAGGCTCCAGCTCTTTGGTCTCAGTTAGGGCCAAGATCAAGGGGTAAATTTGACAGAAAAGTCTCTACCAGAGTCCATTTTGGACTTCTATTCCAACCCTCTAATGTTCCAAGACAAAATCTGGATTGGCATCTCCTACGTGTTTGTCATAACTGATGGAGGAAAAAAGATTAAGCAGCTCTCTATGTCCTTTGACACTCACCTTGAGGCGGCTTTGGGCATCTGCAAGCATGAAGCAATGCACTGGGCCTTCAGGTCCGTCAAGCTCGAAATCCATAACCCGAAAAATTCCCTTAGCATCACTGTTGTCCCATCCACGTCGACCTCTCGGCTTCGGCGTTTGCCAATGGGGGAGAGATGGGTGCAAGAGAAGAGGGAGCGGAAAGAAGCCCGGGCAAGTCTCTGTCGAACATGGGAGAAGGCGAGGAAAGGGACCATGACTGCTCCAAAAGAGGTGCCAAGGGAGGGGGGAGGGAGAGAAAGAAGGATAGAGGTCAGATGGTAGTGGTAGGGAGTCAGCAGAGCTGGGAGAGGAAGGTGAAGCAGCGGCGGCTGCAGGGGCGGAAACCTCTGGAGTGAAAACAGCGACTGATGGTGACAGGGGAAAAGGTTCAGGGGAAACATCAAAGGAGCGGGGCGACATGGAACCCAGGTAGGATGGGGGGGAACCCAGGTAAAAGGGTGGGGGGGGTTAGAGCACCAAGACTGGGGGAGAGAGGTAGGGTGAGAGGAGCAAAGCACCGTAGGAGCTGAGGGGTCCCATAAAAGGGGGAGAGGAGTTGAAAAAGGACAGGTAGTGGTGGTGGTGGGGGTAGGGGTGAGGGACAAGTCGAAGCCCAGGGAGAGAAGGTAGGGTAAGGGAAGTGAACAATTGTAACCCTGCTGATATGTACCAGGTGAGAGGAATGGGGAAAGAGGGGGACAAGAAACGAAGAAAGGTAGGTCGGGTCAAGGGGAGAGGGGTCAAGGGAGTGCACTGCTAAGATACCAAAGGGGAGAAGGGAGCCGTCCAGTTCCATAGACAACTGAGAAGAAAGGGGTTCCAAATGGGGGATGGGGACTGCAGGGGGAAGGTAACAGAGGGGAAGAAGTCCTAAAATTCATGACAAGATAGTCAGATAAGCAGCTAGTTAAGGTGTAGACGTACATGTGCGCTGTTCCGAGTAAGGTTCCTGGTGCAATCCTTCTTCCTTCTCTTCGAGTACCTTATTTGGCACAAGAGAAATAGAGCGTTGGACTCCACAAGAATAAAATGATAATCAAAAGATAACTAATAATGTAGCTCACTGGAAGATGGTGCCAAAAATCTTTCGATGTACTTACTTGGTAAAGAGGCTTCCCTGGCTCTTTCCTTTATTGCTTTCGAAGATCAATGACGTCAGGTGCCTTCACACCAGTTGGTGTACTGCAGGGAACTTAAAAAAGTCAATTTATTAATACAGCAGTAAGAGAGAGAGAGAGAGAGAGAGGCTGGTAACTAATTGAATACTGGCCTCCAATTCCTCTTCTTCGATATGTTCCTCCTGTTCTTCCTCCTCTTCCTCCAAGTCATCCCAATGCTTACTGATATCAACAAGTTTCTCCTGCAATCAAAGGAAAATGCATAATGAGACAACAATGATATCGCCATCATTAAGAAAACTAAGAAAACCATAGTAACATGGAAAGTCATTTTCCAACAAAGGAAGATATAATTTCCCACGCATGAAGTTTATTATAATAACACAAGGGATTTATTCTATTAATTCAACAAACCAAGTGAAAATGGATAGGGAAAGCTTTATGTGTGACCCAAACAAAATAGAAGTTATACGTGACCCCACTTCTTAGCTGTTTGATTCAAAATTGATGGCTACGATTGTTCATGCCACAATGACATGCCAAACGCTGTTTTATTTTTCATTTTTTTATACAAAATATTTTTGGATGAAATTTTGAGCGTCCCATCATAAACTAGGGCAAACCTAAATAAAATAGAAAGCCATCTACTCATATCTGATGGCTGTGATCAGGGGTCACATATATTATATATGTGGGTGGGGTTACATAGAAGGCTTTTCCAAATGCATATCTCCATACCTCATAATTAGGTCGTTCTCGTTGTTGGACACCAAAAAAGTCACCATATTGGGGGCGTCCGAACTACATAATAAAAATTTCACAGAAGCAGTCACAAAAGAATAAACAATCGCACAGAAGAAGAATCCATACAAAATATTATAAACACTACGACAACTTGAATGCAAGAATCATAGGAAGCTTACTTCAT